TCTTTACAGAATGTCTCTGCATCTGCTCTGTCCCGTGTCTTTACAGAGACAAATAAACATCATTTAAAGTCCTGGCATCCTGCCAGCTTTGATGCTGTAGTTTTAAGACAAAATAAAACTTTATTGTCCACCAAGGTGGACATTTTTCTTCAGCTCTCCAACCATAAAATAAAACACATTCTTACAATCAGAATATCAACAATTTGTGTGTAAACACTTTGCGTACCATAGGCAGATGTTATCATTTGGTTTGGTTCAACATGGTTCTTGCACTCGGAGCTTCGTTGGCACAGGGACCAGGTTCAGACTATCTGATCAATTGCTCCTTGCTGTCTTCATGTTCTCTTAAACTAAAAGATCTTCTTGTCTTGAGAAGGGACAGAGTTATAGCTGCTTTGATCAAACCCAGTGTATCATCTGATGAGGGTAGTTGTTGAGGATGACTCTCATTTTCTTTCAGCTGTTCTCTCTTCAGTGTCTCCACAGCGAGTCGTCCTCCTCCGTCTCACTCTGTCCTCACTCCAACTACCTCCATGTCCTCTCTAACTGTATCCATATATCTCCTCTTTGTCTTTTTCCTGGCTGCTGCATTTCTAACATCCTTCTACCAATATACCCACTGTCCCTCCTCTGGACATGTCCAAACCACTGTCCCTCCTCTGGACACGTCCAAACCACTGTCCCTCCTCTGGACACGTCCAAACCACTGTCCCTCCTCTGGACACGTCCAAACCATATCAATGTGTCCTCTCTAACTTTATCTCCCAGTTGTTCAACCTGTGCTGTTCCTCTGATGATCTCACTCCTAATCTTCTCCATCCTTGTCACTCCTAAGGAGAACCTCAACATCTTCATTTCTGCCTCTTCCAATATTATTTTTAAATTTTTGCACACAAACTGTAAAACTGACTGAGTTGGAGCCATTTTTGTGTCTCATAATGTCAGTAGGCTGTGACGGCCATCTTGAATTGGATGCAGATTGTTACTTTTGGAGAGAAAGTCTGTGATTGTCCCACCCAGGACAGGACGATCTACTGCTAAATAACTTTAACAGCTAACTCGTGTCAAGATGGCTACCCATAGGCGTCGCAACCATTATATGTGAAGGGGACGTGTCCCCCCCCACATAAAAATAAAAAGTTAATTTGGACCCCCCACTTTTAAACATTAGTTCCGGCGGCGCAGTTTCTCTTTCTTTGTGAGCGAATCCATTCCACTTGATCAATAGGAGAATACTCAAACCATTAAAACTCCACTCCAGGTTTTCCTGGTTACCTCCAACTCTCTTGAGTCTCCTGCCTCGGCAGAAAGCACGCACAGGTGGAGGAGATGGAGACACCTCTGTGTTGCTCGCTCGCCAGTTTAGCAGCTTAGTGCGGGCAGTTGTTGACCGGGGGGGGGGTTGATCATAAACATATATTCATGTTAGGAGGAGGGAAGTGCAGCGCTACGTAGCATCTTAGCTTAGCAGTAAGTGTGACGCTGCAGATGTAAGAGACTGTGTGCTCAGTGCATTAAAGTTGAAATGTCTTTAAACCCACACACCTTATTGTCCTCAAGCTTCATGAGAATCATTTAGATGAGTAGTGTTGAACACAAGTAAAAAAGTCCAGTGGTGATGTTTTTTATTTCTCTATAAAGACAAATGGTGCCGACCTGACGCTCTGTATTAAAGTGTATTAAAGTTAAAATGTCTTTAAACCCACAGCTGAATTTACACAAACTTGGTGGAAAAACATGTTTTAAATGTGTTTAAAGGAAATCAAGGTGAAATGTTGCTTTTTTGTATTAGTGGACACTTTTTTACACGTGCACACGCACCTACACACATCGTGTCCCCCCCACATGACAGATGCTTCTGACGCCCTTGCGGCTACCATGGCTAACTTACCTTTGAAAACACAAAATGGTTTTAATTTAGTCCGTTTTCTAGATGTTGAGCTGAAATTCAGTGAGGTAGTGTCTGGGTGTGGTTCATGACACGTAGCTGCTCACCGTCGTGTAAAGTTCAGCGTGAACTGTTACTGACTGGTTGGACCAAAACTACGGCTCGTTTCTCATTTTAAGGTGATGGAGTAAAACTCTGGCCTTGAAATGGGCGGGTGAAATGAATTCCTTCATGGGCTGTAACTTGTGACTGGCAGCACAGTCATCATGCTTCATTGGAACATTTCTGCCATTTTGTCTCGGTGAAAAGCAAAAAGGAGGAGAACAGAAGTGAAGAAGAGTGACGAGCGTTCCTAACAACAAGATCTCCATGTGTGACCGTCGTGAGAAAATATCACCATCTGTGTGTCTCTTTCACCAGCCCATGCACTTACTTACTTACACACATGCACACACACCTTCAGGCTTTATTTTTCTCAATTTTAATATTTCCAGACTAAATGTGATGTTTTTTTTGTTTTCTCAGATAAGCTGTTTGGAAAACGACTTCTTCTAGCCCGACATTATATAATCTCTCGCAAGTCCTGGTTAAAGATGGTTCCGACAGAAAACTGTGATATCCTGATGACATTTCCAGGTACCGTACGCTCCGACATGTCCTCCTTGTTTGTCCCACAGTAAAGTCCCTGCATTAGAAGGATCAGCAGTCACTGACGAGCAGGTAGAGGCTCATTTATGTGTTTAAAGCTTAAAAGGCTCTCTGGGGAACATTAGCTGCTGTCCATGCACAGACCAGCTCGGTGTGCAGGATCCTTTAATGGAGGGGCTCTCATGGCCATCTCGTGTGAACTGGAAGCTTTTCATTCTTCAAACCGACTCACATCCAGTGTTCAAAACACATCCTGTTCACACGGTGTCATGTTCAAACAGCGTGCTGTTTAACACTGGGCACTTGGCTTGAATAAATATTTAATTATTTAGGAGAAGGTGCCACTCTCCACAGTCGTTCATGTGGCCTCTTTCCTTATATATATATATATATATAGATATATATATATATATATATAGATATATATAGATAGATAGATATATATAGATATATATAGATGTATATAGATATATGTAGATGTATAGATATATATAGATATAGATATATATATATCTATATATAGATATAGATATATATATATAGATATATAGATATATATATAGATATAGATATCTATAGATAGAGATAGATAGATAGAAACATAAACACAGCTCAAGTAGGTGAACAGCTACAGAGCATGTGGGTCTTTAGCAGGTAAAAGAGTGAGTTCAGTGCCTTTGAAGAGGGTTCAGTAGAAATTCAGTTCAGTTGGTTTATATAGCACCTAGTCACAACAGAAATCTCGGCACTGGACAGAAACATTCATATACAGTATACGATGGGAATATAAGTACGGTAGTCCCTCGTTTATTGAAAGTAAAGGAAAAACTCCCTCATGAGGAAGAAACCTTTAGCAGAACCAGGCTCAGGACAAGCGATCATCTGCTTCGACCGGCTGGGTTTGAGAGGAACAGGAAGGAGGAACAGATACACAATGGCAGGTCAAGAATCACATGTTTAGATAGAAATAATATCAAATGAAAACTATCCATCCATCAATCCATTATCTTTACCCGCTTATTCCATTTTGGGTCACGGGGGTCGCTGGTGCCCATGTCCAGCAATCACTGTGCGAGGGGCGGGGTACACCCTGGATGGGTCGCAAGTCCATCACAGGGACACATAGAGACAAACGAGACAAACAAACATTCACTCTCTCACTCACACCTAGGGACAATTTAGAGTTACCAATCAGCCTAACATGCATGTTTTTGGTCTGTGGGAGGAAACCGGAGTACCCGGAGAAAACCCATGCACGGAGAGAACATGCAAACTCCACCCAGAAAGGCCCCTGGACCGAGGTTTAAACCAAGGACCTGCTCGCTGAGAGGCAGCAGCTCTACCAGTTGCACCACCGTGCTGCATGAAAACTATTCAATTTTTACAATTTAAGGAAATTAGGTCAATTTGTCCTCCAGTAGTCTAAGCTTAAGAAAGCTTAACAAGCCAACCCTAACTATAGGATTGATCAAAAAGGAAAGTCTTAAATCCAGTCTTAAAACTAGACAATGTGTCAGTCTCACAGACAGAAACTGGAAGTTGGTTCCACAAGAGAGGAGCCTGATAACTGAAAGATCTGCCTCCCATTCTGCTTTTGGAAACTCTAGGAACCACGAGTAAGCCTGCAGTCTGAGAGTGATGTGCTCTGTTAGGAAAATATGGAACAATAAGATCTCGAATATAAGATGGAGCTAGGTTGTTGAGAGCTTTGTAGGTTAGAAGTAAGATTTTGAATTCTATTCTGGATTTGACAGGGAGCCAATGGAGAGAAGTTAATACTGGAGAGATATGATCTCTCCTACTAACTCCCTTTAATTCATTCAACCTTTATTTATGTTTTCATTGAGGCTTGAGGACTCATTTACAAGAGACCTGTTTTAAACAAAGAACAGATAAGGTACAAACAAGACAAGTCATAAATAAGCGTTTAAAATGAAAAGTAAATAGAAGGAATGAAATAAAAAAACGAGACAAAAACAGCTATATTTTAAATAAGACGTTACACATGTCCAGAGTCTTACAACTTAAGACTCTAGCAGCAGCATTTTGGATCAAATGAAGATGTTTTAAAGAAGTATTTGGACACCCAGATAATAAACCGTTGCAATAGTCCAGTCTAGATGTGACAAATGCATGGACCAGTTTATCTGCATCATTTTTAGATAAGATGTTTCTACTTTTAGTGATGTTACGCAGGTGGAAGAAGGTGGTTCTAGTAATGTTTTTAATGTGGGGGATAAAAGACTGTAGTCTCTCGCTACTTCATGATTCGTTTTTCGCGGGCTCGCTCTGTCACGGCTTTTCAAAGTAAGATTGGACATGACACACAATTGGCTGATTGATGAATGAGCCGCACAATTGGCATGGAACTTTTATTCAAAATAAATTATTTTTAATTATTTAGCACCTGCTGTCCCTTTGTGCAGCCCACAACTGCAGGAGAAGCTTCTTCCTGCAGCTTGTCATATCTCCATTCTGCAGTGGAGAGGTGGGCCTGACTGAGAGCACTGGTATATGGCAGAGAGCAGCCGGAGGCAGAGAGCTGAGATCATGACATGCTGTGCTCTTTTAGAGTTTAGAAACATTGTTTAGAATATTGTAAGAGTAAAAAAACTACTACTTACTACTTGTACTACTCTTCCTACTTCGCAGTTTGTCACTCATCACGGGGCTTCAGGGTACGGATCCCCTGCGATAAACAAGGGACTACTGTACATGTCCTGATCAATAATAACACCAATGTTTTTAACATTAGAGCTGGAGGACAGATTAATGCCATACAAGGAGGGAGAAAGACTGAAAAATTAATTCCTAAAATGCTCAGGTCCAAAAACCAAAACCTCAGTCTTGTCTGAGTTTGAAAGCAGAAACGTAAGGGTCATCCAGGTTTTTATGTCTTTAAGACATGCTTGTACTCTAAGTAGCTGATTGGATTACCTAATGGAAGCATGTATAAAGTAAAGAGCAGTGGTGGGATGCATCACAAACAACAATGATTCCAGCTACAGGCAGGAGGTGGAACACCTGGAGAGCTGGTGCAGGAAGAACAACCTTCACATAAATGTCAAGAAGAAGTGGAGATGAAGGAGATGGTCGTGGACTTCAGAAGGAACAAACCCACCTACCCCACCCCTGTACATTTGAGGATCTGCGGTGGAAGTGGTCTCCAGCTACAAATACTTGGGTGTACACCCAAATTCAACCTCAGCTGGAGCAACAACACCACCAGCCTGATCAAGAAAGCTCATCAGAGACTCTACTTCCTCAGACGGCTGAGACGAGCTGGTCTGGGAAGCTCAGTCCTCACCTCCTTCTACAGGTGTGCAGTGGAGAGCATCCTGTGCTCCAGCATCAACGTGTGGCATGGAGGCTGCACAGCTGCAGAAAGAAAAGCTTTGCAGAGAGTGGTGAAGGCTGCACAGAAATCTGTCGGAGTCAGTCTCCCCACCATCACAGACATCTACACCTCCAGATGCAGGAAGAGGGCCACCTGCATCATGAAGGACCCCACTCACCCAGCACACACACTTTTTGCTCCACTCCCCTCAGGCAGGAGGTTGAGGAGCAGTAAGTGTAGAACCACTAGACTGAGGAACAGCTTCTACCCTGAGGCTGTTAGACTCATGAATCTCTAACCAGAATAATCACTGTGAAAAACCACATCATGTTGCTGCTGATCTGTTTCATGTTGCTGCTGATCTGTTTCATGTTGCTGCTGATCTGTTTCATGTTGCTGTGTTCATTCGTGCTCATCTGCTCACACAGACTCATGTCCATGCTGCTGTTCAGCGTATTGTGTTTGTTTATTGTTTTTATGTTATTAGTGCTTAGCATATTTTTAGCTAATGTTTTTCTTAGTCCATATCTTAGATGTTATTACTGTTTTTATTTCACATTTTATTGTTGGATGTAACTGGGACCCTGTGTACATAATTTCGTTAAAGAATATCTGAAATGAACAAAGCAGATGCTAAAATAATCAAAAAAGTAACAAAAGCCTTATAATATCAACAAAGTAACTAAAAGTAAACAAAACAAAACAAAACCGGTGCTTAAAGCTAAAAGTAGTACAATTGTAGCTAAAAGTCATCCAACCTAGCTAAAAGCTAAAAATAGCAAAATGGTGTCAAAATAGTAGAAGACTAAAAACGAGCCGATATGCTAAGGCAAAGATGTACACTACACTGCCAAAAGTATTTGCTCATCCATCCAAATGATCAGAATCGTGTGTTCCAGTCACTTCCATGGCCACTGGTGTATAAAATGAAGCAGCTAGACATGGAGACTGTTTTTACAAGCATTTGTGAAAGAATGGGTCTCTCTCAGGAGCTCAGTGAATTCCAGCATGGAACTGATAGGATGCCACCTATGCAACAAAATCCAGTTGTGACATTTCCTCGCTCCTAAATATTCCACAGTCGACCGTCAGCTGGATTATAAGAAAAAGGGTGGACCAACGTCATATTGAACCCTATGGATTAGGCATGGGATGTCACTTAAGCTCATATGTGAGTCAAGGCAGGTGAGCGAATACTTTTGGCAATGTAGTGTAAATGTTTTGATGGAATTAAAGAGTTAATGTTTTTCTATAGAGAATTTTATTTCAGGAAATAGTAACATTTTAAAATGTATAAAATTTGCAAAACACAAAACTCATAGCACCCTCTGCCTGAATGACCTGAAAATGTTGATGATTGATCACATTAATACAGTGAACCCTCGCTATAACGCGGTTCACCTTTCACGGTCTCGCTGCTTCACTGATTTGCATCGTGCATTGTGTTCTGCATTCTGATTGGCTAAACAGTCTCTCCAGTACAGTAGTTATTTGTCAAAAATGTTTATACAGTACTTTTATTTGTTAAACAAATGCTTGGGCCTGTAAAAAGGTTTTGTTCTTTGGTTTGAATGTATTATGGAGTATTTCATTGTATAATAATTGTAAAAAAGTAAAGGTTACTACTTCACTGATTTTGTCTATCACGGGTTCTTTTTGTAACGTAACCCCCGTGAAAAACGAGGGTTCACTGTACAACATATTCCAAGTAATTCAATTCCAAAAATGTACAAAAGAAACTAAAAACTGCGAAACAACTGAGGCGGCACGGTGGTGCAGTTTGTAGAGCTGCTGCCTCTCAGCGACAAGGTCGATCCCCACCCAGCTGGGGGCCTTTCTGGGTGGAGTTTGCATGTTTTCTCAGTGCTGTGGGTTTCCTCTGGGTTCTCCAGTTTCCTCCCACAGACCAAAAACATGCATGTTAGGCTGATTGGTAACTCTAAATTGTCCCTAGGTGTGAGTGAGAGAGTGAATGGTTGTTTGTCCCATTTGTCTCTATTTGTCCCTATGATGGACTGCAGACATGTCCAGGGTGTCCCTCGCCTCTTAGACAGTGACTGCTGGACATTGGCACCAGTGACCTCTGTGACCCGTAAACTAGAAGTAGGTAAAGATGGATGGATGGATGGATGGGAAACAAGTGAAAACGCTGACTCAGCCCTCATACAATTATTATCTAATTTTATAGGAAAATAGTTTATTTTCAACTGAACTGATGAGCTAATGACTAGTCTGAATGCAGCCTAGACCACAGTGGATTTGTGCATCTTTATTCAAGGTAGAATTTTAATCATTTGTTTATTTAAAGGTATTTAAATTAGTTAAACACAACCTTAGGTAAAGGATAGAATGTAAAATCCTGTTTATTTATTATCAGGCTGTGCCCACCGTGTCTGACAGCTGTTTGGATGTTTTTCACTTGTAAATCCATCTCAATGCAGAATAATCAACTTCAAATTGTTTGGAAATAAACAAAAAAATAATACTCGGGCAGCAACAGCTCCCCTGTTGTTTTTCTTTCATTCACAAGTAGTCCACCTGGTTTAACTATGTGCACAACCAGAACACAGTTTTGCAAGCTGTGCACGCACAAATAGGCTGTGATTTTTTTAAGGCCATGCAAAACTGTGGCACGGCTCACTGCCACATGGCTGAGATGCAAACACTCAGAATTCACTGAGTCTGCAACTGAAAACCCACCTGGTTTTTCAAAGTCTTCTAACAACTTTAGGTCTTTTTTATTGTGAATCAGTGGAGGTTTAATAACCAAACTGAACAGTTGCTTCTCTCAGTGCTGAAGTCTTTTCTGCTTGCCTTTGTGCTCAGTTCTGATGCTCCGGAGCAGCAGACTGCCTTAATCAAGGTGCCTAAACCTGTTGATTATCAGGTAATCAATGCGTCTGATCAGTACTGGACTGGTACTGACCTACTTCATTCCAATTAAGGCATTAAGAGAGACTACTTTTTAAAGACTCTTCCTAATGATCACATTTTTTATTTATTATCAGTTATTGCGTAATATGTCGTGTTTCAGTGTTCAGGACCTGATGAGTTTCAGATGAAACGTAAATCTAAAAGATTGGTGGAAGCTTCACGTTTTACCTTGAATATACAGACAGGAACTCTGTGTGAAGTGCTGAGTCTGCGTTTATAATAGTTTCCCTGTTTATGGTTTCTTGGAGTGTACTTTAGCATTACTTTCATTTTTTTACACATTTTAAAATGTTAACGACATTACAGCTATGACAAAGAAATCCTAGATGGCTGTCGCCATAGATGTCATTCCATATTGAGAGCTGATGACTTGAAAAATAAGTGAGATATCCAACATTTTTCAGTCAGGTCATCTGGACAGTTTCTTTTTTTGTGCAGAAACATTTCGCCTTCAATCCAGAAGGCTTCATCAGTCAAGTAAACGCACAACAAAACTGATTCTTCGTCCAACAGCTTACTCCAAAGTGGAACAAACCAGTTCTGCTTGTGATAAGATGGTCTCTTTGGTACGGCCCCTCCTCCATTGCCGGCCCTCTTCCTTGTTGACGGTCTTGTCAAACTGGTTGAAAACAACAAAGTCCATGCTCAATAATCCAGGTATACAATCCAACATTTTTCAGTCAGGTCATCTGGACAGTTTCTTTTTTTTTTTGG